CATACATACATACGTCCATCCATCCATCCATCCATCCATCCATCCATCCATCCATCCATCCATCCATCCATGCATGCATATATGCATACCTACATACATATGTACGTGCATACATTCATGCAGACATAGATTGACGCAGTTGGCAGTTGTGATGTCTTCCCCTCGACAGGACCACTTTGTATGAGCTCTGAGCCCGTTGCAGCAGCCTCCACGAAGAGGTTGCAGCAGACAACTTTTGTACATGTCCATTGATGAAAGCTTCTTAGACCCGACAAGTATTTAAGATGGCTACCCAAACCGGACCTTAAATTGAAACTACTCAGAGCCTGGGAAGCGAAGGAAGCTACGAGTTGACTCTGGCAGTTCTTGACCTGGAAGGGTCGCCTGCTTCCGAGCCATTTTGCTCCGAGCTGGTTCCCTGCTTGTCCGTCCATGAAGTGTCCTGGAGCAGCTCGCAAGTTACTGACGGCCAGCATGGGACCGTTCCTTGAAGGACTGTTGCCGCGTGAGCTTGCAGTCCTTGAGCCCTTCGTATTACCCGCAAAAAAGGGGGTCCCGAGCCGAGCGTCCGAGCTTCCTGTGCGTGGGCTTAGAATGGAGCTGTGCAAAGCTTCAAAGCCGGGCCCGGGTGCCATTTTTGGCTCAAAAGCGCCTGAGCCCAGTGGAGGGAAGGGCCACTACTAGCGGAATAGTGTCTGTTGTTTTGGCGCACAGGCATGCGACTAGCAGAGGGATAGCACAGTGCCGGCATAGAGTGGTGGACATGGACGGTACAGCCAGCGCCTCAAGCTGCGAATGCAGGTAGCAGCCCGAGCAGCACAGGTCTAGATTCGCTGAGTCGCATCCTGTGGTTCCGAGGTCAGGATACCTGCTTCTGACAACCCTGAGGACGGGGCATGCTGCAATTTGCACTCGAATGTCTGTGAAAGCATGAGTTGGAGTGGGATCCTCACAGCGGCTCCAATAAGAACTCCTCCGCCTTGCCCAGGAGCTTATGAAGCCAGTGAACTCCGAGAACTTCAGAGAGCTCTTCAGCAGCAAGACCAACTGGTTCGTGGATGACACCAATGTGTACCGGGTGAAGATCCACAAAGCCGTCGACGGAAGCCTGAAGACCGAGAGAATAAACGGAGCGATCTTCTTCTTCAACCCGCGAACAGGACCAGTTTAGGGTTTAGGGTTTAGGGTTTAGGGTGAATCTAGAGCTCCTTTAAGCGATGGTCGGACGAATCTCCCCGAACTTGGGCTGCAGCTCTTGATCCCCTACTGCCCTCTACTAGACTGCGACTGTTGAAGCATTCTTTTCAAAGCTTGTACCAGGACAGCTCTTCCTGAAGATCATCCCTGCCTCCGTGTGGGCTGGTCATGAGCCTCAGCGTCTCTCACAGCTGGCAAAGCAGAAGACAGCCGAGGAGGTGCTGCTATTGAGCAATGGGAACTAAATACTCACTCCAAACCAGCCGCCGCCACTTTAGAATCAGATTCGTGAAGAAGCAGGAAACGAACCAGCAACCTAACACAAGAACAGCACGAACAACAAGGTTTCAAGAAGCTTCCCCACCCCTATGTTCCATAAGTCTCTCTTCAGGTGGCAGCATGGATCCGCTCCTTGCCGGCGGAAGAGCATCCGAAGCAGATCATCGCTACACGTACGGGTACGTTGGATGCTTTGCGGGTGCCCCACACCTTTTGAGGGGCTCCATTAGTAGAGGCTTGGGGTGTCAAAACGGTTTAGGCGTTATAGTTAGAGTTGTGGTGCCTTGAGCTCTTAGTTAGTCAGAGTCGCAGAGCGCCCGAAAGGGCCTGGATCCTTGAGTCGATGGCAGGTGCAGCTTGTGGATTTCCCGGACATTGTGATCAAGCACTCCGAGATTTCACTGCGCTTCCAGGCGAAAGATTCAAAGATGATTTTCGAGGAATCTTCGATTGCGGATGCGGCTCTTGAGCATGACAACGTTTGCACCTTTCGTGGCACCTGTGCAAAACCCAGCTGCTAGGCCTGCCTGAGAATCGAGAAGATCAGCGATGTGATCCCGAAGGCGACCGAGTCTGAGGTGGTGCTCTGCAACCTCTACGACGACTGGCTGAAGTCGAACTCCTCATACACTGCCTTCAGCAACTTGTTCCAATGGCCGATGCATCGAGACATGCGTTCTCGCGCGTGGCTGTCCTGTGCCTGAAGTTCTCACGGCTTGCTGAGGTCGCATGGTCTTGATCTTGGGAGCACTGTACATCGATGTGGATGGCACGCAGGCCATCCTGCAGCCTGACAAGACGACGGCCACACAGCTGCAACTTCGGAGCCCTTGCAACCGGAAGGTTGCACTGGGGGCTCAGAAACCTAGAAGTTGATAGCCGGGCCAGACCTGTGATTTTGCAAGGTCATGCAAGGTCTGTTGCACTCGGAAAGCTTTCTTTGAGCCGACACGAATTTCAGGTCGCCCAGCCAGGCCAGGTTTGGCCGAGTCTCACCGACCGTGAGTGGATCCAGATTGAGATGCTGCTCAAGGACGTGATCCTGGCAGACTACTGCCGCTCAACTCCTGGCATAACCTGTCTGAATGTTCTAGAAGCTGAGCCACCTCTAAACGCCCAGGCAAGAAGAACTACGTGAAGGTGGCTTCGCTCACCCCGTTTCAGATTCGCGACATCATCCTCGGAATGGAGATCGCACCGCCATCCATCCAGCGAGCCCTGTCCGCAGGAAAATCGTTCCGATAGAAACAAGATACAGGACCCCGGTATAGTTTCAGGATGACTCTAATGGCCTCCTGCATGTCCGTCTTGTGTGTGGCAGCCCTGAAGGATCTGAGATCCATATGCAAGAGAGTTTATCACCCTCCCCGCGACTCTGTGCAGGCTCCCCCGACGAGCACGGAACTACTGAGAGCCCGGGAAGCGAAGGAAGCTAAAGGTTGACTCTGGCAGTTCTTGACCTGGAAGGGTCGCCTGCGACCACGAAGCCCCGAGCAGCGCCTCAGCACATGCAAGTCTACGAGTGCCAGTAACGGCCAGCAAGGGACCGTGCGCTGACTGCGACCGCGCGGGCCGCAGAAGAAAGATCACCAATCCAGTCTCTGAGCTTCAAACGGTCCGTGTGCGTCTGAAATTGAGCTGAGCAAGCCTGTGTTGCGGTGCCTTGTTTTTGGCTGAAGCTCTGCTTGAGCCAAGTGCAGGCTTGTACAGGATGTCGGATTGGATGGGTCACTTCTAGCAGATTCTAGCATCTGCCAGCAGAGTAGTGCTTGGGATAGAGCAGGGCCAACATAGCGCGGATGGACATGGACGGAACAGCCAGGCCCTCAAGCGCAGCGGACGAGGAGCAGAGGTCTATATAGATTGGTTGTCGGATCATGCGTTCCAAGGTCAGCATACCTGCTTCAGACAACCCCGAGGACAAAGCAAAGCATCAGAATGCTACAATTTGCCTGCGAGTGCAGGAATCGTAGTGGATGCCTACATCTACTGTAGCGGCTCCTTTTGAACACCACTGCCTTGCCCAGGAGGTTACAGAGGCAGTGACTGCGCTGGTGCGCCGGAGTCTACACCAGGAGGATGAACAGTTGATGCCGTTTCAGTTTTCATGAAAGCCGACACGCTTGTAATCATTGATCGGTGTCGAACTACGTCCCGCCTGCCGGAAGTTCTGAAATCACATACACACAAGCCGTGCAAGAAGCGGAGCTACATACTATTACATACTCATGTTGACATGGACACCGGCCCAATAAGTGGCAGCCATGCATCTGAGCCGGTCGAAACCAGGTACATGAAGGGAAAGAAGACCTGGGAGGCACTCCCACTGAAGTGTTCATACCATGAATCCTTACTCGTCGAACAGATAGCCGGAGTAGGAAGGGAGTCTGCCCGCCATGGGCAGCGTGATCGAGGATGCACTCATCACAGAGGCAGACATCACAGATGATGTGCCTACCAGCTCGCGTCAGCTGAGCTCTTGGCTGCGGCGCACGCGGCAAAACAAGATCCGGAAGGTGGTTCGTGAAGTGTACCTAAGGGACGACATCGTTCCGGAGCCCTTCGAGGGAGCAGATCAGGTGCTGGTTCTGGACACCAACATCGTGTTGCATCAGATCGATCTCATCGCTGAGGATGAGTGTGTGAACCATGTGGTGGTTCCATACACCGTTCTGCAGGAGGTCAGGCACAGAAACATGGGAATCTATGCCCGACTTCGAGCTTTGTGTCGCGTCGAGACGGGTGATGCGAAGCAAGACCAGGCGGTCGAAGCGGAGCTGAACGAAGAACCCGCACCTCCCAGCAATGCGAGGAGAGGAGTTGGAGATCGCGAGAAGGCCAAGGAGATGGCCTCGGCGAGAAATGCGCGTCAGTTCTACGTGTTTCCCAACGAGTTCTTCCGGGAGACCTATGTGGAACGTGCTCCACAGGAGTCTCAGAATGACAGAAACGATCGAGCGATCCGTCGTGTGGCCCACTGGTACCGGCGGCACATCGTCGGTCCAGAGGTGCTTCTGCTTACAGATGATCGGGCCTGCAAAGCCAAAGCCGTCTCAGATGGTCTCGTGGCCTTTCGGGCAGCTGAGTTTGTGGAGAGGATGCGTGGGAAGTTCCCGGAAGCCGGCGAGAAGTTGGCCCTTCGAGACGAGGACGAGGGCCCGGCACCCTCCGCCTCTCAGGCCCAGGGCCGCGGCGTGAAGCGGGGCAGGGAGCCCTTGGTGAAGTCCACGGATGGCTCGGTGTACCCGGCCCATTTGAAGGCCAGCGAAGTCGAGCGAGGCTTGAAGGAGAGGCGTCTCTTTCAGGGCGTCTTGCGCATGCACATGAACACCTGCATGCACGGCACGGTGACGTGCGGTGGAACGGAAGAGATGGAAGTCTCGGGCCGTCTGGCGCTCAACCGGGCCATTGACGGTGACGTCGTCGTGGTGGAAAAAGTGGAGAGCGCCGAAGTGCTGGAGCGAGCCGACAAGCGCCTCCGCTTGGAGGTCGCAGACCCCGACTTCGGAGTCTCGGGCTCCGCCCCCTCTGCAGCAGACGAGATCAAGGAGATGCAAGCGCAGAAGGCCCCACAAACGGGGCCACAAACGTCCTCGGATCGGCCCAAGGGCCGGGTGGTGGGGATCCTGAAGCGCAACTGGCGCGAGTACTGCGGCACCTTGAGGCCCTTGCATGCCGAGAGGCAGCAGGAGCATGGGCCGAGTACCTACAACAAGTCCGATCGCGTGTTCATCCCAGCCGATGCAAGGCTGCCCAACATCATGATTCAGACCCGGCACTCGGTGAATTTGGACAACAAGCGCATCGTTGTCGTGCTGGATGGCTGGGACCGATTCAGCCATCATCCGTCAGGACACTGGACCAAGATTCTGGGAGACGTAGGGGACAGATCCGTCGAGAGCATGGTGATCCTCCACGAGCCCGGGCCTTGGAAATCTCAATTTGCAGAGACGAACATCCAGAATGCACATCAGAACAGCAGCCAAAAGCGGCAAGGGCAGCAGCAACAAGATCATCCCAGCAGCACCACTTCTTGCGCGAAAACCCACAACGAAAGGATGAGCAGCAGAAGCGAACAAACAACGACAAGGCCTCCAACGACGATGGTGAACACAACGGTGACCGCGATGGCACAATGAGATTACTGAACGGATGACTGCGGGTACTCCTAACCACAACGGATGAGACCACTGAGTGACCGTGTCGATTATGATGAGAAGCGGGACGTTGATGGACTTGATGCTGCTGATGGTGAGGAGAGCATGAAGCCATCTTTATACCGAGAATACCAGCAGTTTTGAGAAGGATCAGTTGGTTTACATCATGGCAGTAGCATTCGGGAATAAACACAGCAAGGATCGGCTGATAGCCTGATGTGAATTGTAAGGTAGCTGACGACGATACTGGTGACCAGATTTGTAACCAATACAGCTTGCAGGAAGGATGACCAAGCAGGACAAGACCAATTTCCGACACGTCATCCGCAACGTACGTCCCAGAAAACAAAATGTGTGACTGCGGAACTGCCGTGCTGTAGGGTTTAGAATAAAAACTGAGCTCTGCTGTTTGCCGTGTGAACAAGCGCACTACACAGCATGCGACCCAATTCCGTGTTCACGAATCTTGGCTCCCCCCGACCCCGGACCCCATGCTCTCAATCCCAAAACCCTGGTCACCTGGTCCCGCCTTGTTGCCGTTCAGAGGATTGGGCGGGAGCAAAAACGAGCTCAACAACAAAACGCCCTCGTCTAAGATGCTCGTAGCAGGCGGATTGAAAAGCGCCGGAAATAAGCAATAACCCTAAACCCCGATCCCTAGGGAGGCCTTAAGCCCTCATGCCAGGCATGGCGTCATTACCCGTGAGTTCAGCGAGGCGGTGTACCGCTGCCTCCCCGCCGCCGACTGGCAACCAGGCCCCGAAGATCTGAAAGGCCGACCCCCGACCGGATTCCATGGGGGCCCTAATATAAGAACAGTTAGAATATAGGGTTCCTTTAAAGGGTTCGTAAAAGGGTCAAAAAGGGTTACTATGGCTCCTTTAAGGGTTCTTAAAAGGGTCTATAAGGGTTACTATAAGGGGTTAAGGGGCCTTAATCATCAGAATTGGGTTTTGGGGCCCATTCTAGTATAATTAGAATAAGGAACCCCCAGGATAGTATTGGTGGGTTTAGGATGGTTTAGGGTTTAGAGTAAGTTGAGGGGTTTGCGTGTTGAGGCTTTAGGGTTTAGGGATGTTACTTAAAACATGGGGATGTAGAAGGGTCTCTCTACAAGGGTTCTGTGAGAGAGTCTCAAGAAAATCGACCCCCCCCCGTTCAGAGATCCCTTCAAGACAAAATTTGGCATTAAACCCTAAACCCTAAACCCGAAACCCTAAACCCTAAACCCTAAACCCTAAATCAGAGCCTGGGCAAAGCCGAGGAGAAGATCTTCGAGGCATTTGTGTCTGCTCCGTGGACCCTCCCGGTTGCGTCTCGGCTGGCCGGTGTCAGGGTTGCTTCCGGGCTTCCAAGAAGGGTTCCTGTAAGGGTTCCGACGGGTTGAGGGCTTTGGGAAAAGTGTTGAGGGCTTGCGGGTGCCAGAGCAGAGACATGCTCGTGTGGCTTGCGGAATCCGAGCGGAGTTTTCGGCAGAGACATCTTGTCCCAGGCAAAGACATCGATGATGCCGTGTCTTGCGAACCTTTGCCAAACGGCAACTACCGTGCCCGTCGCTCAGACAGTTTGAGCTCGAGTTTGAGTTCAGTGTATCCTGCCTGCATGTTTCCAAAACTGCAGCTATCCCGCGTCGCACAGGTTGGGGTCCACATCGCGGATGTCACACATTTCGTGCACCCCGGAACTGCAATCGACAACGAGGCGGCAGAGAGGTGCACCACAGCTTCTTTGATATTCTCTGAAGCCAGACAGCGCCCGTCTATGCCAAACACAGTGGACTTGGAGATCAACCTTGCTGGCAGCCTAGGTTTACCTCGTGGAAAGACGCACGGATATGCTGCCAGGCCGTCAGATTGCTCGGTAGTGGCGGTGCGATGCTTCATGTAGGATACGGCCCTGTCCAGGCTTGCTTACCACAGACATCTGCTCTCTGCGGGCCCAGGCAAGGGGTTCTGTTTCTCAAAGCTACCTCGCTCAACTTGACGACCTGCTTCTGCCACACTTAAGGTGGAGCGTCTTACCTTCTCGGTTCTCTGGGAGATGACACCAGAAGCAGAAGTTGTCGACACCAAGTTCTGCAAGGCTTCTGCTGCTTTGCTGCCTGCTTTTTGTATGGTCTCGTGCTTCAGAGTCTTGAGGCTTCAGAGTTTAGGATTACGTTTTTCGTAGGATAGGGTTGCTGCAATCTGTACCCCAAAGACCCAACCATCCCTAAATCCTTCAGATATCTGTTGCACTAAGCCATCCTCAGCCCGATTAATTACCAAGCTCTGAGAATTCGCGGTGCATGACCAGGCGTGTGATATCCTGACGGTTTGGGCTTGGGGGGCTGTGTGCCTGAAAATTTCAAGCTGTGATTCTGGCTTCAGGTCGTGGGGCCCGGGGCCCAGGGCTTCTTGCGGCCTTGGGAGTCTTTGGGGCTTTCGTGGGCTTTCGTGCCGCGTAGGGTTTCTCAGGGCCAGGGGCTCTTCGAGACGAAAGGAGAGAGGCCTCTACTCCCTAAACCCCAAAAGCAGTGAGAAAAGGAGTCCAAAGAAAACAAGCCGAAACAAAAAAAGGCGCTACTCTGTAACCCTAAAACTTATACTTCTACCCAAGCTCCTATTAACAAGCCCTGGGCAGGCCATCATCAAGTCCCGTGCTGCCCTCTCCTACGCAGAGGCCCAGGGGAGGATCGACGACCCCAAGGCCCTTTGGGGCGGGGAGGGTTGGTGCCTAGGGCCTAGGGTTTACTCGAGGAAAAAGGATCTCACGAGGTTCCTGTATAGGTTCCTTTTAGGGGTTCCGAAGTACCTACATTGTAGACTCTAATCAGGGTTCCTTTTCTCGGAAGCATTATCATGATTTAGGGGAGTGCCTTTTTGAAGAGCAGAAAAAACGCTAAACCCTAAACCCTAAACCCTAAAAGGCTGTAAGGACCG